TGGGGTTGGATGGGAAGATTAGTCTAATGGCATTTTGAGGAAGCAATGACCGGCACAGCCCATAGTTTTCATCTGCCCTTTTGTTACCTTGAATATTTTTATCATTTCCAAAACAACTGCATATTCTTTTAAAAGAAGAAGTAGATTAATGTCCTTTTCATCATCCTTGCCTCTTTTCTCCTACTGTATCCCAGTTTCTCAATACTGGACATCACAGATCAGTGTGTCTCACTACTGGCCTGGATTTTTCATCCACATTGAAATCTCATCTAATGAGAATGAAACTTCTGGTCTCTTAATGTGCCTATTGCAACTTCAGGAACTTTATGCTTAAAAGGCTTTTTTGGGTCATAGTTTCTGTGGTTCCAAACTATAGAATAAAATAGTAACATATTGAAGTTCACCTTGCATAATTAAAACTTCCCCTGGATAAATACAGAACCTGTTACAAGGAAGGTATTATTTCAGTTATGATTACCGGTAGCTTTTAAAACCAATTGCAGCTGTGCTTTATGGAGGAAGGGATGCTGTTTTAACTTTTTTCAGATTCCTGTAAGATAAAATTAATGTAGTACTGTTTTGTTTTTTCTTCTTCTTTTTGTAGTACATGGACTTGAACCAGGGCCCTGAGCATGCTAGGCAAATAGTCTACCACTGAGCTATATGGCCAGCTCCATTTTTTCAAATTTAATACATTTTTCCCACACACACACAACAACTCTGAAATCTGGAAGCATCTTATAATCAGTGCCATGTAATTGCTTAATTAACAAAGGGGCTTTTTTTTTCTTTTTTTCTTATATTAGTCAGCTTTGTATCACTAGGACCAAACACCTGAGAAAGTCAATTTAGAGGATTATTTTGGCTCATAGTTTCAGGCCTTAGTCAGCTGACTCCAAGGGAGAAACATCATGGTGGAAGGCCTTGGCAGAGAAAAGATACTCAATTCATGACAGCCAAGAAACAGAGAGCAGGGAAAGAGCCAGAGAGGAAGGAACCAGGAACCAAATATATCCTTTAAAGGCACCCTCCACTGGGACTTAGTTCCTCCAACTAGGCCCAGCCTTTGAATAACCCATTCAGCTCTGACCTTATCAATATTTTATTCCATTAATGACTGTCCTCATGATCCATCACTGCTCTACACCCCCCCCCCCCCCTCTGAATACTGCTCCCTTGAGAAATGTGTCCTCAATACATGAGTCTTTAGGGGACATTTCATAGTTAAATTATAACATTGTATTACACAAAATAATGGTTATGTCTTACATTTGATGCTGTGATGTTTTATATGTCAATTTGTGTCACAGGGTGTTGCTATAGTTTGGATCTGGAATGTCTCTCAAAGGCCCATGTGTTTAAAACTTGGTCCTCAGCTTGTCACTGTTGGAAGATGATGGAACCGTTAATAGGTGGGGTGTAGTGGAGTGAATTTAGGTCATTTGGGGAGGTGCCCGTGAAGGGAATATTGTGATGCTGGCTTCTCCTTGTTTCCTGCTTCCCAGCTACCATGAAGTGAGCATATTGCTTCATCACACAGCTCCCTACTATGATTTGCTACCTTATCAAAAGTCCAAGGCAATCTGGCCAAGTGACCATGGACAGAAACCTCTGAAACTGAGCCAAAATAAACCTTTCCTCCTTGTAAGTTAATTTATCTCAAATATTCGTTACAGTAATAGAAAGGTGACAAGCACCGGCACAGGCATCCACACATTTAACCAAATATTATCCTGGATGACTCTGTGAGTGTGCTTCTGTATGTGATTAACATTTGAATCAGAAGACCATGGGCCTCGTCCATCAGTTGAGGACTAGAATTACAAAAAAAGGCTAAGAGGAAACCAATTCCTCTTGCCCAACTGCCTTGAACTAGGACATTGGCCTTCATTGGAACTTGTACTGTATGCTCTTCTGTGTCTTTAATTTGCTAACTACAGATCTTGGGACTTAACCTGCATAGAATCATCTGAGATAGTTTTTTATAATACATTTCTTTATGTGTATGTATACACATATCCTATTGATTCATTTTCTCTGGAGAATGTTAATACAGTTGGATCCTAAATTTGATCAAATGTAGTAACTGAGGATGTCTTCTACACAAAGCATGATAGCTCTGGGGAGTGTCACACCAATCAGGGTTACAGAATAAGCTATACCTGAAAAGATGCTACTATTCTATATCAGTATTGTAGACAGCTAAGCTAGTTAGAAAATATAAGGCAGTTAGGCAAGGCCTCAGCACAGAAAACAATTAAGACTCATTTACTAAAAGGTCAGGATTCAAAAAGGAAGAACTATTACACCTACATACTTCCCCTAGGGATGAATAGCAGTGATTGATAGTCTAAATAGACATCAGTCACCTTAATTGGGGACTAAAACCTCCCTAGCCTATTTATTCCTTCTGGTGAAATCCTTGTCTTTCCATGTATGCTTGCTATGTGACTAGCTTCCCCTTTTAATCAGTATTATCTAAGTGACTATACTTGTTGTGATCTTATTGGTTGATCATAGTTTTGTCCCACTTCATGATTTCCCATTGGATCAATATTACCTAAGGGATTATACTTGTAATCTTATTAGTTAACTGTAGTTTTCCGACCTTGAACCTGCCTCACTTCATGGCTTTGCTCGATAAAACACCTTTGAGAAGTAGGGTGGGCAGGCAATCCACTTTCTGGTCCCCTTTCTGTCTCTCTTAGACAGAAGCTATCTTTCTCTCAATAAATTCTTCCTACTCTTAACCTCCTAGAATTCATTCTTCAGTTTTAGAGAACACCTCAGTGTTTCAGAGATCTAACAGGTTGGGAGTTACAATGTTTCCCTTATATGGATTTTTTCCCTTATTTGGATTACTTGGTGCCCTATGTAACCAGGATAGCTGTTTCAGAGTGAGGGGCTAAAGTCAGAGTTTTTGTGCTAGATGGGGCAGTGTAGAAAGACATAACTTTCTTCCTAGCTCCACTGTATGCAACCTTTGTATCCTAAGTTAGGTTTCTTTATTTGTAAAATGAGCCGATTTGACTAGGTGATTTCAAAGACCTCTTCTATTTCTCCAGTTCTAAAATAATGATTCTTCTGTTTCAGTGAGAGGTGGCCCGAGGTACAAATAATGAAATGCTCCAGCAGAAGGCTTAAACATAATCAGTAACATCTGATTCTAAGTGAGCTGATTCTCTGCCTAAAAAGAACATAGTCTGATGATTGATTGGGTTTCCCAGGTTGCAATATTTCGTTCCATAAAGGGTAGCCTTCAAGTTTGCATTTCTGTAGAATTTGAAACCAAGGTCAAGAAACACTGCCTTCTGAAATAAAAATTTACAGGTTCATTTGAAGAGTTTTGTTAGCCAGGAATTGACTTGGGTAGGTGTAGAGTTAATACCATATGTATCCTGACGTTCAGTAAAGGATCTGAGTCCCTGGGAAGGAAGTCTTCAATATAAAGTGTAACACAAAGAGCATAAGCCAGAGTTTGTGAAAAGATTTATTTATTTATTTATTTTTTGGTACCGGAGATCGAACTCGGGTCCTTGCGCTTGCAAGGCAAGCGGCAAACCACTGACCTAAATCCCTGGCCCAAGATTTCTTATCTTTGATGAGAAAAGCTTGTATAGCAGGATATTTCAGTTCAGATATTATTGGAGAGTGGATGCTGGGAATTAGTTTTAACTCAGTTTTAAGGAAGTAAGAGACACTGTACCTTGCAGTCCTAAGTAATCTGGTTTCTAGAAAAGTAGACCCTGATAAAGTGATGAGAGCAACATCTTGCCTTCCCACCTAACTCCTTCGCTTAAATTTAGTGCTGACTGTTCAGCCTTCTGGTTACAAACATAGCTTCTTTATCATAATCTTAGTCCAGGGGTGCCCCAGGAAGTATAGTAGTCTCCCTGTAGAACATAGCAAATTGATTCCATGTGGTCATCAGTTGATGTCTTACCCACTTGGATGGTGTGAAGTAATCTCCAAGGGCCCATCAAACATGTATACCTACACAACCCTGGGAACCCCCCTTTCTCATTGGCTTTTTCTCTGGCTATTTCAGCCACAGCAGTTTCATGAGAGAAATGAATCTCTAAATGACTGTGGCATTTCAGAGAAAGGAAAAAAACTATGCCTGATGGAGACCTGAAAGGCTTATGCAGAGATAGTGAGGGATAACATTTTATGGAGATCTAGCTTGAAATGCAATAAATAAGGTTGGTTTGACTGGAATATAGGGTATCATAGAAGACTAGATAAGATATATGTCTACTATATGTGGTTTGTCCCCTGAAATCTCCAGTATTGAAGTGAGTGGAGTTAAAATTTGAATGTTTTAAGATCACTGTAGTTTTTCACTCTTTTTTTTTTTTTTTTTTTTTTTGGTACTGGGGATCAAATTCGGGACCTTGTGCTTGTGAGGCAGGCGCCAGAACCACTGAGCTAAATCCAGGCCCAAGATCACTCTGTTTTGATGAATCAGTACTATTTTAAGTGAAACAAAGTTACTCTTTCCTAAGAGTCATATGATACTAGTTATATATCTTGTTGAAAGGGCATTGTAATCTTTGTTGCATTATTTCTAAATTTCTGATATTTTTTCTTAATCCAGAGAGGAGGGTGTATATGTAAAGCAATGTTAAGGACACAGTAATCATTTGTCTTAGAAAAATTAAAAATCATAGATTACTACTACTGTATGAGGAAAAAAAAGAATAAAAATTATTGTACATTCTATTTCCTTGAGAATCATCATCCATGCTTGTTGATCCTTCCAGAGTTCTATACTTCATGTGATGACTAAAACTATATGCCTCTGTGGTGTTTAATTTTATAAAAATAGGATCAAACATACAAGTCTCTTCTAACCTGCCTCCTTCTCTAGAATTTCCCTTGCAATGAAAGCTCATTGCAACTGAGCCTTGGTATCCTATAATAGGCCTTAGTTTCTGTGACCTGGTAGGCATTGCACATGCTGGTAGTAATTACAGTGATCCTCTTGCTTCTGTTTTCAGGTTGGCAGCCTCGATGGTTCCTTCTCTGTGGAGGAATATTATCCTATTATGATTCTCCTGAAGATGCCTGGAAAGGTTGCAAAGGGAGCATCCAAATGGCGGTCTGTGAAATTCAAGGTGGGAAACCAAACAACTTGCCAGTTTTATTTTTATGTCTCTGAAAAAATAAAAAAGCACTGGCCTCTGCATGCCTTTCTCTGCTGCTCCCACAGTACAGATCAAGATACACAGTGTCATGTCCTTGCAAGAAAGCCTTGTAAATACAACATAAAATTGCAGCCAACTTTCATAAGGAGATAGTTTAAGAAGTGGTCCAAATGAACAAGAGCAGTGTGCTTCATTACTCAGCTAGTACTCATTCCTTAGTCACCTGCTCACCTGGGCCCAGTAGCTATTTGAAAAATTTAAATCTTTCCTGTAGCACCAGACATCTCTGTGTTTAAATCAGATTCCGTATACCCACACACTCACTTCCACACACAACTCAAAGCAAAATAAGCAAAGTTCTAACAGACATACAAATAGTCTTCTTGGTTTTAGAATCTTGAGATATTCAGAGATGTAATTCAAAATAAAACAGATTAGATGGATATGTATGAGTGAAGGAACATGTAGTGTGCTTATTTCTTTTCCTAAAGGGTTCTGAGGAAATTCTTATACTTTAGTCTAACTTGTCAAGGGAAGTAGAAGAAAAATAGTGCATTCTTGATTGCTTCCAAATAAATCCCAAAAGATAAAGAACATATCCTTGCTTGTTGGCTTGCATATTAGAGCATTTTCCATTGCTACAACAAAGTACCTGAAGCTGGGTAATGTATAAAGGAAAGAGCTTTATTTAGCTAACAGTTTTGGAGGTTCAAATTCTAAGTAGCATGATGCCAACTCCAGTGAGGGCCCCCTGGGTGTGTCACATCATGGAAAATAGTATCACAGTGGGAGTTGGTGTGAGAGGGAGAGATTACATGATAAAACAGGAAGCCAGGGAGACTGTGGAAAAACCGGTCTTGTTCCTTTATGACAACCCTGTCCTGAGTATGAACCAGCATCCTATGAGAACTACACTCTCTGAAGGCAATGCTCCCAATGACCTCCCACACTGCTTCACCTCATAAACATTCTACCTAACATCATCCCACTAGAGACTGAGCTTCTGACACGTGAACCCTTGGGATTTCAGCTTTTTCTTTGGACTGGGGCAAATCCAAACCATAAAACGTGCAAACCTATTTGACCTCAAAGCAGCATATTTTATGTACACACAGCCAAAAGAGAGGTTCCTTCTATATTGTGATAGAAGATTAAATTGAGTGGTTGTTTTTTGGTCAAAGACTTACTGATGAGTTATAAAGCCATTAATATTAAAAGAGATCAACAGAACTGTGTAGGAAAAGATAAGTAAACAGAACTTTGTGTGAACTAGAAGAAGTAGTAAAGGCTGACCTCCTGTCCTGTCTGGGAAAAGCTTTCAGGAACTGGCACCAGTTGATGTCAAAAAGCTGAATGGGGTGGAGTCTACTCAGTGCTTGTAGGTCTCTGACCTCACTCTACCTTGCTTCCAGTTCATTCTGTAGATAATACCCGCATGGACCTGATAATTCCTGGGGAACAGTATTTCTACCTGAAGGCCAGAAGTGTGGCTGAGAGACAGCGGTGGCTGGTAGCCCTGGGGTCAGCCAAGGCTTGCCTGACAGACAGTAGAACCCAGAAGGAGAAAGGCAAGTATTGATTGTCCTCTAGTCTGGGAGCTTTGGGAATCACCCATTGCCATCTCTGTGTTCTCTCTTTTTTTTTTTTAACTTTTGTTGTCTCTGACCACCTACAAAGCTTTCTGTATCATTTAATTTCTTTTTTTTTGGTACTGGGCATCGAATTCGGGTCCTTATGCTTTCAAGGCAAGCGGCAGAACCACTGAGCTAAATCCATGGCCCCTTTCTGTATCATTTACATGCTATGTCACAGTACAGCTTATACCAGGGTCCATAGCTTATTCTACTTTTTTAGCAATGTCTTAGTGGAAAGAGGACAGTCTTTAGAGCCAGACACAAGTGAGTTCAAATAATGGCTTTGTAGTTTATTGACTCTGTAACTTTGGCATGGGTTACTTAAATTTTCTGAGCTTTAGTTACCTCATCTTTGAAAAAGAGGTGAGAACACTCCCTTGGAGGGATTACTGTGAGGATTAGTGATAATATATAACAGTGTAGTACCTAGTCAGGCACCAAATTGGAGTCCCCAGTTAGGCACAGACTTTGGCAAAGAGTAGTTGAGTCAGAGAAACCCTGGGTTGGGGTGTTTTGGGTAATAGTACCCTGTTTTCCTTTTCCTTTCTGAGGTGTGATGGATACCTAATGTCAGGTTGCTGCTGTTTAATATTTATTAATTTGACATCATTAGGTTCCCTGAGAACCATGGCACAATTTTCTCATTGAACTGGGGCAAAAATGCCAGGCCGAGCTGCATGGGTCCTGCTTGTTGCTGTCCCAGCTCCACAGCTGTATGTGCAACTGAAGAGATTCAGTGGGCAAAAGAAAGGGGAAATGGAGGGGAGGGGTTGTTCCAGAGAATATTTCTTGTGACAGTTGTGGTAGATGTTTCTAATTCTTCAAGTCGACCCAGTTAAATGGTCTCTTTATTGGTTGTTTTTGATACAAAATCAGGAATAAATCCTAGAAACCATTAGCTTTGACTCCGAGCAGATGGTAATATACAGTATTTTCAGGGAGAAAGAACAGAGGTGGTAGTAATTGTAGCTGAGACTGTGGCATCAGGTGGCTGGAGTGCCTTGTTAATTGTTATTGGGTAGGTGCCATTACCCTTAATAGGCAACATGCTAAACCGTCCTCAGTCAAAATAAGAAGCCATGCTCTTGGTGGTGATTGGACATAACAGAACAGTTTCCCAGGTGTGAGCAGAGCAGTGCCATAGGAGGTAGATCACTCTGACCCCCTCTTAAGACCCTGTGTGGCAGAACTGAGGCCAGAGCTCTGAACTCTGACTCTGCTGGCAGTTTTGATAGGAGATCCAGATGAAATGTTGTCTCCTCTTCCTGTACTGGTGATTATTCAGTATGTTGTCTCAAGAAACAATGTTTTACAGTGGACCCTTGACTTACAAATTGGGGCTGGCTGTAACTCAAGTTGGTTCTAAGTCAAGACTACTTTTCCCATAAGAAATAATGGAAATACCCATAATGCATTCTGAACTTCCCAAAGCACCCCTTAACTAATCTTTCCATAATAAAAAGGGTCGTATAAGGTGCATAATTTACCAGAAACACTAATAATTTTCCTAGTGTATTTACCAAAAAGTTATACAGTGTGCCTAGTTTACCAGAAACAATTTCATACTGTACTCACCATTCAAGTTGTCATCTTTGGCTTGCAGGAAGGGAGTGTGAAATGGAAGGTGGTTATTGTTCGGAAGAAGAGTCTCCTTCCTTAAGAACATCAGAAGTCTGGCTCTCTGGTGTCCTTTCTCTCCTTGGTCTCAACCTTTTCAAAACTAAAAACTGGTCTAAGGTTGTCTTTTTCTGTCTTTTCTTTAACACTGTTCTGTAGTATGACATGACATCGTCGTTAAGCAAGTGAATGTAACAATTGGCTTTTTCCCTGTCTGGGTGGGTCTTCTCTACAAATGTTTGTAGCTCTGTCCATTTTTTTCAGAATTTCCTTTATTGCAGACAAAAGAATTTTGCTGCACTGATTGTTGAGACTCCCCCTCCTCTTCAGAAAGCTCCTCAGCTGCTGTTCTCTGTTGCTCAGCTAGAAGTTGCTGAAGTTCCTCTATAGACCGTTCCTCTGAGTGTTCCTCCAGCAGTTCCTCAACATCGCCACTATCTACCTGCAAGCCTGTGTACTCTGCTATTGTGACAGTGTCATCAACCGCAGGGTCAATTGAAGGCTTAGGCTCCTCTACATAGCCTTCAAAGTCTCCCTCCTGGGTAATTTTAGACCACACTTTCTTCTAGGCAGATCTCAGTGTCCTTAGAGAAACATTGGCCCAGGATTTCTCCTTTAATCCCACACAGGAAAGGATGTTGTAAGGTTCCTTCTAGAACTCTTTAAGGCTTAAATCTGTATCTGAGACCATCTGGAAGAACTTCAGGAACAGTTTCTTGTGAATAGCTTCTTAAAGTTAGCTATAACCTGCTGGTCCATAGGCTGCAGTAGAGGAGTTGTATTAGGTGGAAGGAACTCAACTGAGAGCCATGGGAGTTCTTCAGCCAGTTCTTCCAAATCTCATGGGTGAGCAGGAGCATTGTCCAGGATGAGGAGTAAACCTTTGTCCTCTAAACATTTCTTAACAATAGGACAGAAAGCCTCCTTGATTCACTCAATAAAAAGTGCTCTTAGGGCCGGGGATTTAGCTCAGTGGTTCCGGCACCTGCCTTGCAAGCGCAAGGTCCTGAGTTCGATCCCCGGTAACAAAACAAAAGTGCTCTTGTTACCCAGGCTTTTGTATTAGATCGCCACATGACCCCTAGCCTATTTTTCTTGACTGTGTTTTCTGAACACTCTGAGGGTCTCAAGAGTGATAGGGATGGGGATTTAGCTCAGTGGTGCCACCACCTGCCTCGAAAGCGCAAGGTACTGAATTTGATCCCTGGTACCAAAATAAAGTGATAAACCAAGAGAGGCTTTATCTTGAGGTCACCACTCGCATGAGCACATAGCAGTAAGGTTAGCCTTTCATTCATAGGCTTGTGGCCTGGAATTTTCTTCTCTTCCTGGGTAATGTACATTCTCCTGGGCACTTTCTTGCAGAAAGGACAGTTTCATCACAGTTGAAAACTTAATGAGAGCCATTTCTCTATGTCATCATTTTGAAGTGGTGTATATAATTTTCAGCAGCCTTTTTATCAGCACTGGCTGCTTCACCATGCCTAGTTACACTGTGAACCCTAGTTCTAGCTTTAAAATTGTGAAACCACCCCTTACTGGCATGAAATGTTTCACTATTATTATTTGTTGATAGATTTTCCCTTATGAGATCTGCATTTATAGCCCTAGCTTTTTCATAAATTATAGACTCAGGCTACAACCTGCCACCTCCCTTTCATTTATCCACATTAATAATAGCCTTTCTACCTTGTTTAACACTGTTGATCCTTGATCATAACTTAGTAATTTAAGTAACACCTTTATTAACGCTAGCTTCCTTATACAAATCTTTTTTCTGTAAGATTGTTGAGATGGTGGATTTCAACATGCTGTGCATATTAGCTAGACAGGTCACACAAACGCCACTCTCATATTTCTCCACAATTTCCTTCTTGTTTTTGATTATGATTGCTTCCTTTACCTTCTCTCCCTTTCTTGGCTTCTTTTCTAGCTTTTTTGGGGCCATTTTGATAGCAGTAATTGTAGTAATTATGTAAAGCACTGACCAAAATCACATCCACAAACATTCACACTTGGGCTCAGACTGATGCTTAGGTACACTTGCATACGCTTTCTGGCATCATGTGTCTTTGTTTATAACTTCACAGGTGGCCAGTATTCAGGTCGTAACTCAATACTTTGGTCATAAGTTAAAACTAAAATTCCCATCGTAACACAGGTTCTTTTTATGTGAGGCCAGTTGTAACTCTTGGGTCCACTGTACTTCACAATACTGGAAATACCCTTTTCCTGTTTTTCTTGCCCCCACATCTTTATCACATTGGTAACACATACTATAAACCTAGATTATTATACTGACTAGATTGGTTATTCATTTTCGTAACTGCACTACTATCATTTTGCCATTCAGAATTTGCTGAAAACACTGAAAACTTGAAAACCAAAATGTCAGAACTAAGACTCTACTGTGACCTCCTTGTTCAGCAAGTAGATAAAACAAAAGAAGTGACCACAACTGGCGTGTCTAATTCTGAGGTAAAATATTACTTTAGTGATATTATTGATATTATACATGAAAAAGTAACACTAGATTGCTTATACATGTTTATTCTCACAGAATTCCTGACTGTAATAGAATTTGCTATATTTTAGAAGAAAACAAAATTCAACAAAGAAAAGAAATGTGTGCAGTGTAGCATATGGAAGCATATAGTTTTCCTTCCTGTAGTGAATTCAGGATTAATTAATTGATAACATTTTGAATTTTTATCTTTAGTACTGACATACTGAATTATGTTTCTCCCTGTTCACATCACTTTTTTTAGTCAGTACTAGGGATTAAATCCTTGCCTTTGCAAATGAGCTACACCCTACCCCTTTTTATTCTTTAAACTTGTGATCCTTCTACCTCAGTCTGCCAAGGAGCAAGGATTATAGGCATGCACTAACTCACTTGGTCATTTGTACCACTCCTTTTTTGTACTGCTTTTTTAAAATACAGTCTTACCTGTCTTATAAACCATTTCCCAAGTGTGTTTATAAGGTGTTAGTGGTATATCTGCCAGTAGTGTATATCTGTCACCTTTGGTGAGACTGACTGCATTTTATTTCACCATAGTAATTGTTGTTCTTTGGAGTAGATGTATGTTTTCAGAGATGGAGACACAGCTTTGTTCTCTGTCAAGAAGAATTGTGATTTTTCATATTTATTGATAAAATGGTCATTCACTCACCCTAAAACACATTAAAGGATCTCTTTGGTGTTAAGCTATGAATGGAATGGTTCACATTAAATGGAGAGGGTCTCTGCTCTTTCAAAGGTGTTATAATCTGATGATGTCTACAACAGAAGAATGTACAGATTGTACTTAATGTTTTAATTCACTTTTTAGGTAATAGAATACCATACTACTAATAGTATATGTGGTTTGAGGTCTTTCTTATAAAGGTGATTTAACTTACTTTCATTTGCTTACTTCCTCTTGGGCTCTCTTATTCATTTGTCAGTGTTGTGTGTAATCATTGTCCTAGTGGGTTGGAGCAGGTAGAGAACTAAAACATATCAGTCGTATTCTTGTAAAGTCTAGAGCAGTTATTGTCAGCCCAGAGCAACTGTGCCCCCGAGAGACATTTGGTAGCATCTGGAAACATTTTTGATTGATATGATTGAGGGAGTGCCACTGGCATACAGTGAGTAGAAGCCAAGATGCTGCTTAATATCTTACAGTGAATAGGAGAGTTGCACCCTGCCCCTGCACATTAACCAATCCAGAGTGTCTATGGAGCTGAGTAGAAAAGCCCTGATGAAGAAAGAAGAGAAAATGTGACCACAGCAGTCTTTAATTCAGAAAGGAAAGTGCATATAGCAAGTGCTGTGGGAACTTGGTAATGAAAAGAATGGTCTGTCACCTGAGAGCTTGTTAGAAATACAAAGTGAAAGAAATATAGAGACCACTAAAATATGGTCTCCTCACTCTCGAGTCAGAGTGTGGCCTCAGTTTTCTGAACAGCTTACCAATACCATCGTCCAGAAAAATATACCGTGAACAAGTAAACAAACTTTTAGTAGCAAAAAAGAAATCAATTCGTTATTTAAAGGAATTCCAGTTGTCGAGACCTCTTGGTGTTCCATACTGAAAATAAATGATGCACAGTTTCTGGAAGCTTCATGTGAACTCCGTGCCCAGCACCTGGCACAGTGCTCTCTTACAATATTGTTTCCTTTAGCTGCAGTGAATTTGAATAGGTAAATGTGAAGGGTCAGATTGAAAGCAAGTATTGTGTGTGATAAGTGAATAAATTGGGCTAGTTCTGTTTTTTTTTTTTTATCACTGATATACTTGTCCAGCAAAACAATTAAGTACACTGTTAATAATTTGTGGATAAAAGCCTTAAAAGACATAACGCAATTGAACTTCTTCTTTTTTGGCAAGATACACGTCTTCCATTCTGGTTTTTTTGTTTTGTTTGTTTTTTGTAGGAGGGAATTGATGTCGGTACTCTGCTGAAATCAACTTGCAATACTTTTCTAAAGACCTTGGAAGAATGCATGCAGATTGCCAATGCAACCTTTACCTCTGAACTGCTTTATCGCACTCCCCCAGGATCACCACAGCTGGCCATGCTCAAGTCAAGCAAGGTAAAAGGCCAGCTCAGTTTGTCTGCAACAGGATTAATTTAGTTAGCTTTTTATGTTACTGAGACAAACAACTGACATCTGCAGCTAAGGAAGGAGAGGTTTATTTGACTCACAGTTCCAGGTGGTTCCATCCATGGTTAACTAGCTGCTGAACAGAAATGGCAAGGCAGAAAGGGTTGCCAAAAGAAAGCTGCTCAATTCATGGCAGTCAGGAAATAAAGAAGGAAAGAGAGAGAGAGAGAGAGAGAGAGAGAGAGAGAGAGAGAGATGCACCTTACAAGCATGCTCCCAGTGCCCTACTTCCTTCAACTGGGCCCCACCGACTAATAGCGCATTCAACTAGGAACTCAACCAGTGGATTAATCCAAGAGGAGTATAGCAGTGCTATACATGGGGGTCCATGATTCACTATAAGGCCCACTTCTGAACACCAGAGACTTTTGGGGAACATTTTAGATGTAATCCATCACAAAGGTACAATGAAAAGCTGAAAGTCTAAGGATATAGCCTTTGGTGATTGATAAAGACATTTTTTAGTGGACTTCGCTTTATATCCATTTTTATGTCTGATTTCAGCCTTCCATTTCTAGTCAACTATTTTTGGCAGTTTGACCACCTACACACATCTCTAATGTAGCTTCTTTCTAACCTCCTTGTCCAAGGAATTTAGCCTAGAGTTGTAGTCACCTTCTGACTAGTTACCTTCAGGCTGACCCTTCTGGTCAGCAAACAGTATTTATATTAATGGGAATATAAATTGGATCACTTTATCTAAACTGCAGTGGCTCCCTTACTGCCTGTACATTAAAGCTAAAATTTCTTAGCCCTTTCTTCCATCACCAGCCTCTTTCCTTGATATTACTTGGCTTGAACATATTGTGTCATCCTCCCCCTACATATACACACACTCCTTTATGTCATAACCCAAGAATACCCAACTCAGCTCTTTCCCAGGTTAGCTCTTACTCATTCTCTATTCATTTTTTTTCCAAATCTTCGTGTTGAACTAAGAGCTTCTTCACATACACTGTCCTGTTTTAGTTCTATTCTTTGTTGAATTAGTTTGAGGGCAGGAACCCTGTAGTGTTTACAGTACCTGTCATGTTAATATAATAACCTGCACATTAGTTTCCTATCTGTTAATCTTTAGTAAGCATAACTGAATTACAAATAAAGCCAATCACCAAAAGCTTAGGTATGATAATTAGGCCTTTCAAAGGTCATCTTCCTTTTCCTTAGAAATTTGGATACCAGGGACAAATTGGAACCAATGACTCTACTTTGAGATGATTTAAAATTGTTTTTGTTGAATGGGACAGTTTATATTATAGTCATATTTACCACTTTCTTGTTTGATAAAATTCCGAATAATGCACTTTTGGAAGTTTAACTTTCATTTTTTTGCTTTTTTTAAAAGTTGAAACATCCTGTTGTTCCAATTCACAATTCACTGGAAAGGTATGGTAATTTTGTTTTGTTTTTCTTCTCCCCCCCCCCCAAAAAACGGATATACTTATTCCTTGTTTAAAAGTGTGTGGGGGGTGATATTTTGATCATATGGTGGTTTTTGTCATGATTTGAGATGGCACTAGAAGGAAACAGTATCTGACTTTTTTGGTTTGGGTGAGCCTAAAACAATATAGACCTTGATTCAGCACTAATGGGAAAATGTTGGCCTGTGCCCTAGGATATAGCTCTCACCCATTACATCTAGTAACTTTTCATCGCTCTAGAGTTACTGAGGATTGGAATTTCTCTTATGTAGGAGCTGAATATTGACTACAGTGTATTTATCCAGAAAAAGCAGTAGTGCTATTCTGTTTTATTTAGAAATAAAAATCTCAGATAGTTTTACAGGATGAAAAAATAATTTTATATCAAACAATTTCTAGTCCTGTAAATATACCTTCAATTTTAAAAAAACACATGCTGAGCTGGGAAATGTTGCTCAGTACTAGACCACTTGTCTAGAATGCATGCATGAGGCCCTGGGTCTGATCCTCAGCATTGGGGGAAAAAAAGGTACATATTGACATGGTTACATATGTTGTATAGGCATTTTTTTATATTGACAGTCCAGATACTTTTTCTTTCAAATTGTTAATTATTCATCCCTTTATATACTATTGTTTGCTTCTTTATTACAAAGATTTTCCCCAGTTTGGTTGTTTCTAATTTTCTCCTTTTCTAAGTATTTCTACTGGGAAAATCTACATTTTTTTCTTTTGAGTTATTGCCTGTATATGCCCCCACATTTTGAATGCTAGGTTCAAATGTATATATTTTTTTTTTTTTTAGAAAACAGCAAATGCTTTTCCTAGACTTGCCTTGTAGCTTGAACCCTTCTCCTTGTTTTTATTAAAAGAAAATAGCTTTGTTCTAACTTGGCTATGTATAATCACCTATAATAAGATACTATGATTGTCCCATTAAGAGATAGAGTCAGCTATTTCACTTGAATGTTACATAGCTTTCTCTGTTACCTTGAAGTGTGGCAGATCCCTCAGGATATGTTGTGGTCCTCTTGGGTATTTTTCTTGCAGATTGATAACAGAGTACCAGGGTGTGGAGGGGGTGACCACAGCATGTGGCTTCTAGATAGTTAGCTGCTAAGTAAGCTCATGGAAGTGGCTAATGGTGTTGAGAAAAAGCCTCCTAGGGAGAAGTTTAAGAAAGTCAAGTGTTAAATCTGGCACTTGAGATAGCTGATTGGAAGCCAAACAGCTGTCAATGACTATTTCCTGATGCTGGTGGGAAGCAGGAAGATTGAGTTAGCTAGGGACACAGGAAGAACCATTAAGCTCTTTTGACTTCTGAACTGCAGCCTTGTGACAAGTCTGTTTCCTATCATAGACTTTGGTGTCTGTGGGAGGCTGTGAGGTTTGACTTAGTTTAACAACTCTGTTTTTTAATTAAAAGGATTGGTGTTAAAAGGATTTGGTGATTGTGACCTCTTTCCCCATCCATCTAAATAACATCTTCCCAAGCAACCTATAACCAAATCACTGGACTTTCTGGCTCTTTTCTTTTAAAAAATATTTTAGGCAAATGGAGTTGAACAGTTGTGAAAATGGATCTTTAAATATGGAAATAAGTGGTGATGAAGAAATCCTAATGAAAAACAAGAGCTCTTTATATTTGAAATCTGCAGAGATAGACTGTAGCATATCAAGTGAAGAAAATACAGAGGAAAATATAACAGGTAAAAACAGAAGTAAAGTCTGAAATAAACCATTGAACAATAGGAAGTTTGGGGGTTTGACTTTTACCCATGGTGGGTTACACGGTAGGGATTGGCAGGGAGATAGTAACTTCACTAACAGCATTCTGGCCACCCATCTGACCCAGTGTTTAGAAGGGAATCCAGAGATTTATATGTTAATCCTAGAACATCTTAGTTGTTAACTAAGAAAAGTAATGCACACATCACTGAAGTTTTATCTCTTGAATAAATAATAAAGACAGGAGAATTTCTGTCAAAACATACCATCATGTGTTTGACCCCAAAATTTTATTTCTAGGAACTTGCCTTTAGGACATAGATTTAAGGACAAAGATTAGTTTTAAGGGATGTTCTCTATGCCATTCCAGTCAGTTCTCATTATTTGTAGTAGTTATTGTCCCCAGGCTGTGTCCAAGAGGTTCCTGAAGCTGAAATAAGGAACTTAATGTACTCTTTTGTGGAGTAAGTTTGCAGGCTCCCTGAGTGCCATCTTGGAAGAAGAATTTTCTGGACATGTTAGTAAGAGGCACAGGAAGGGTTTATTAGGCAGAGATTTTTGACGCATTCAGTAGTAAAGTATGGGTGCTCAGAGAAATGAGGCACATTATTTTCTGGATCAGGGAACATTTATGCTTCCTTGCAGGGATGGAAACCTAGTACCCAGAAGGGTACTAGCCCATTCTACAGGTATGGGGAGTTTTTGTTTTAGTAATTAAAACATTCTTAGGATTCTCTTAACCTGTTTCTTTATCATAGGATCAGGCTGCTGCTCTTTACTTTCTCAAACCAATTTGTGGACTTTGGGTACTTGTGAGGAATTTTGGGTGTAATGGGTCTTGGTAGGAAAGGAGCCTAAGTTTAACCAAAGGAATAGGGATATGGATCTCTCTGGGGAACTTTGGTTTAGGCCCAAAAGTTGCAGTCTTCTTAAAAGTACAATTTTTAGTTAAGATTCCATGTCTTTTCTGCCCATCTTTTATTTCTTCTATCCTGCTTCAGTTACGTTTCATAAAATCACCCAAATACTGAATTTGCAGATAGTACTGCTGCTTCTAGAGAAAATAACAGAGTGAGCTCCCTTCAAGCCTCTGGTCACAACATTTTTTATTGCTTGATCAGTATATAACGTTGTTTTATGTGTGTTCCCATTAAAGGCACCATATTTATATGTATTGTTGATTCATTAGCATTGAACTCATAGCCAGTAGCACTAAAACTAATATCTGAAAGAAGCTTATCTGACACACGTATTTTGTTCCTAAAGCACATTATAGCCTTCTTATGTTTATGTACCCTAAATAGTACTACTACAAGTGAAGTCTCTTTTAAGAAGCACAAACATAATGGGGTATGGTGGTATATGCCTATAATTCCAGTTATTCCAGAAGTTAAGGCAGAAGGATCACAAAACCAAGGCCAGCCTAAGCAATTTAGCAAGACCCTGTCTCAAAATAAAATTTTAGTAGGCTGTGGATGTAGCTCAGTGGTAATGCTTGCCAGCATGTGTGTGGCCCTGGATTCAATCTGCAAAACAAAAGAGCACAAACATGCAAAATATGTGCTACTAAAGAAGGACATTTATTTATAGTATGAGAACTGAAACAAGAGGACAGAGCATTACCTTGTTTCACCTCAGCTAGAAATGTACATGTCAGGTGACAAATTTTTCACCACTCTGCATATGTCCATGAATGACTAGAAAAGTGCTGCAAGTATTGATTTTAGAGTTACAAATTTTAGCAAGTAAGCAAAGTCACAAATACCAAATATGCTCATAATGAGGACTGACTCTATTTTGGGGGGGGGTACCGGGGATTGAACTTGGGACCTTGAGCTTGCGAGGCAGGCACTGGAACCACTGAGCTAAATCCCCAGCCCTAGGATTAACTGTATTTATAATAGAAGTTTAGAAGTTATCTAAATGCCCTTCACATGATCATATTGCAGTATTAGATGGCCATTAAAATAAGGTTTTTGAACAGTGTTGAGTGATAATGGAAATACTCATGTAACACTGTTTAATAAAAATAAGCATAATAAAATATAGTATTGGGCCAGGGATTTAGCTCAGTGATTCTGCCGCCTGCCTCGCAAGCACAAGGTCCTAAGTTCGATCCCCAGTACCAAAACAAATCAGATATTTAAGCTCAATTTTGTTTGAATATGTATGTGTGTGTTGTGCAGTATTTCAGATTTTTATTTTCTATACTTTCAGTGTTTTAGCAGTTTTTACCAATAGCTATATATTAATTTTTTGAGTTTTATTAATACATGTTTATAGCACATGATGATCACATTCCTTGTGGGGAGTTGGTACATGTACATAACACATCTTAATTCTTTTTTCCAACCTCCCTGCATCTCATGGTACCTTCCTATTTGTAAAAGATTTATATAATAGATTAGTTACAGTATCTTCTACTTTGCAGTTCAAGGTGAAATAATGAAGGAAGATAGAGAAAAAAACTTGGGAAATCGTGACAGCAACTTGGTACTGCCTAGATCAGACTCTTCAAGTTGCTCTCCAGAATCCCTCTGGGAAGAAGGAAAAGAAGTCATCCCAACTTTCTTCAGTACTATGAATACTAGGTAGTGTACACCCTCTAAAATCACTGACAGTTGGGTACGGGTTTGCCTTCTGGAAAATCAGAAGTTTGGGGGTTTGACTTTTTGGTACCAGGGATCAAACTCGGGTCCTTGCACTTGCTGGGCAGGTGGTAGAACCACTGAGCTAAATCCCCACCCCCTGTATGAAAAAATTTTAAATTGCTTTGGTGAAATATCTTTGGAAAATTATCTTAATGGACCATTTTATAATTTTGAAAAAGTCATTCTGGGATATCCATGAAATCAGGACAAATGGTTTTCCCTACAGAGAGGCAGCTGTTTCTTTGACTGTCTTTGAACTTCAGAGAATGCTGATATATTTTCTGTCTTTCCTCCTTGATTTCACCAAATTTTTAAGCTTTAGTGATATTGAACTTCTGGAAGACAGTGGCATTCCCACAGAAGCTTTCTTGGCATCATGTTATGCTGTGGTTCCAGTATTAGGTAAGATTGTTGCAGTTATCTTACACTTAATTATTTTCCAGAATGTCTTCCTGCATTATTTTTCAGGAGAAATATAGTGAGATGACGCTTCATATGACCAGACATATACAGTTAAAATTATATGACCGTAAAGCATTAATGCAGGTTCCCATTTCATGTCTAATATGATTAAATATTGACCTCAGAGTGGTATAATGAAAAAAGAAGTCTGCTTTCTAGAAAGTGAATATAAAAGCAAAAGTCAAAATAATTGAGGAACAGGCCTGTAAACCTATTGATACTATGAAAAAAAATATTTTACCAGTTATAACAAAGATTAAGAAACCATTATAAGCCAGGAATAGTGGTGCATTCTTGTAATCTCAGTTATTCAGAAGCCTGAGACATGAGGATCACAAGATGAAGTCCAGCCTGGGTAACTTAGTAAGACCCTGTCTGAAAATAAAATTTTTTAAAGGCTGGGGATGCAGCTTAATAGTGGAATGCTTGCAAGCACATTTGAGGCCCTGTGTTAATCCCCAGAACTGAAAAAATAAATGTGTGTGTATAAATTTATTTAAATTCAAATCTACTTAGCATATGGTCAATAATACCAGGAATTACTGATGTGATGAAATTTGCTATATAATATATTGAAGTATGAATTTTAAAAAATTTAGGTATAACTTTCATAAAATTGAAATGTTAGGATTCAATTTTGATAAATTCAGCTACCTATATAATCTATATCCCTACAAAATATGGGACATTTTCATCACCCCAGAACATTTCCTGTGCCACTTGGTCCCCAATCCACTAGTCAGTCTTAGGCAGTCATTTTATCGATTTCTTTTACCTTAGGTTAGTTTTGCCTATTCAAAATCTTCACATAAATGGAATCGTATTATATGTTCTTGCATGTGGCTTTTCTCACTTAGTATATTTTTGGGATTCATCCTTGTTGCATGTATCAGTAATTCATTCCTTTTTATTATTGAGTGGTGTTCTATTAAATGAATATACCATAATTCATTTCTTCATTCTATTGATGGACAACTGGGTAGTTTCTGTTATAAATAAAGTTGCCCTGAACATTTTTGTGCCTGTAGGCATATATTTTTAATTTTTATTTTTTAGTAAATAGGAACAGGATTACTGTTTAACTTTATAATAAATTGTCAGACTGTTTAGAGTGATTGCATGGTTATACACTTCCAATAGCTGTGTATAAGTATTCTAGCTGCTTCACATTTTCAGTAGCATTTGGCGGCATCAATATCTTTGTTTTTAACATTTCTCTTGAGTGTTTAATGGTATCCCATGAGAGCTTTAATTTGCATTTACCTAATGGTAATGATGTTGAACACTTTTTTCATATGATTACTGATATTGCTGTATCTTCTGTTGTAAAGTCTGTCCAAATCTTTAACCTATTTTTAAAATGGATTGTTTTTCTTCTTACTGGTTATTAAAAGTTCTTCATATATTCCATTATACATCATAAATATTTTCTCTCAGACAATGGCTTACCTGTCTTTTTTTTAAGATACCTTTTGAAAAGCAGAAATTTTATTTGGATGAAGTCCAACTTAACTTTTTCATAGTTGTTTTCCATATCCTAAGAAGTCTTCATTTGTTACAACAAAAGGTCATAAAATATTCTGTTTTCTTGTCTAGACCCAGTTTTTATGCTTATGTCTGTCATTTATCATGGAATTACTTTTTGTATATAGTATAGTAAGGGATTTGAGGTTAATTTTTATTTTCCTTCTGATACTCTGATTGTTCAAGAATTATTTATCAAAAAACCAGTATTTTCTCTTTAACATTTTTCTGGCAGTTTTGTAATAAGCCAGTTGACCTTATTAAAAGTTTTATTTCTGGACTCTTTGCTGTTCCAATGATCTGTGTATTTCCTTATACCAGTACTACAGTGTCTTTATTATTATAAAGCTTGAAATTAGATAGTTCAAGTCTTCCAATTTTGTTCTTATTTGAGATTGTTTTGGAAATTTTATCTATATCCTTTGCATGTCTATAAATTTTAGCTTTTCAGCTTCTGTTAAAAAGCCTTTTGATTAAGGTTACATTCTGTTTGTAAACCAATTGGGGAAAATTGCTATCTTGAACAACATTGAATTTTCCAGTCCATGAACATTCATATTCATATCCATATTCTCTCATATCCACTTAATAAGTTATCTTTATTTTCTCTAAGCATTTTGTACAGTTTTATTTTAGGAATAAATTTTAGAATTTTGTGGCTTTTGATGCTATTGTAAAAAGTTTTATTTCATTTTCCAGTTATTTATTGATAACATGTAGATAAATTGATCTTTATGTGCTAAGTGCTAGAGTAGTTTTTGTATAAATAGCTTTTTCTTTAGTTATTAAAATTATATTTTTCCTATAATTTATTAATATTAATGAAATACATTATTATAATTAATTCTGTCTTGCTATTTGGTTCTACCAGGTTGCTATTTATTTTCTGTTTTCCTGTCTGTTCCTTTTTGGTTTTTGTTTTTTGGGGGTCTTTTTGGTACTGGGGATCGATCTCGGGACCTTGCACTTTCGAGGAAGGTGGTGGAACCACTGAGCTAAATCCCCGGCCCCACTGTCTGTTCTTTTTAATGCCTTTCCTCATGCTCAGCCAAGGATCAATTATTTTTTAGTGTGCTATTTTATTTCTTCTCTTGGCTTTTTAAACTGTTGTGCCTTTTAAAATATCAATGAAATTTTTTTAAGAATTCCATTATCTTTTCTCTTCTAGCCTTTTTAAGCTGTACTTCTTTTTCAGTAAATATTATTTTAGTAAACTTAAGTAATTAAAATTGGTAATTATATTTAGCAAACGTATTTCTAACAAATATTCAAACCAAAAGTGTAATATTTTCTAGAAGATATATTAAAATAGTAAAACAAAAGTTAATAATATGTTTTATTTAACATAGTATATCCAAAATATCTCAACATGTAATCAATATAATAGAATCATTACTGAGCTACTTTGCATTCTTTGGTACTAAGTCTGCAAAACTTGGTATGTACTTACATTTCAATTTAGAATGGTCACTTTGCAGGTGCTAAGTATTCTTATATCTAGAAGCTCTCATATTGGACAGTTCAGCCTTGAATACACAAAAGTGTATTCAAAGTTTATAAGATTATCTGCATCTCACCTGCTGTTTAGGACCTCTTTATAGTTACTCACTTCAGAATAGTGTGATCGAAAAAGGTAGTAACAGTGTCAAGCTTTTCAATTTTACGTTTAGAAAATGATATCTGTTAAATGTATTGCTACTATTAAAAATATTTTGTATTAAAAATTTAAAAATCTCTTGCTGTAATCCCACCACTCTGGGGGCTGAGGCATGACGCATGCAATTTCAAAGCCTGCCTGGGCTTACATAAGTGAGTTCAAAGCTAACCTGAGCTACACAGCAAGATCTTGTCTCAAAAAACAATTCAAAAAAATTTTGGTTCTTTCTTCTAGATAAACTTGGCCCTACAGTGTTTGCTCCTGTTAAAATGGATCTTGTTGGAAATATTAAGGTTTGTATACTGGCCTGTCTCTGTGAAAACTTGTAAATAAAGAAAAACATTTTCGATACTTTTGTGTTTAACAAGGATTTAAATCAAAAAGTAACAAATTATTACAGTTCCTTCAGGGAGCAAAAATCTTTGTTCTCAAACATTGTGAATGCTCAGCAGGATAACTAATGACACCCTTGCTGTATGTTGGAGGCAAGCTTTTTTGGGGTGGAATGTTCTTTTAAAGATGAAACCAGCATTTCCTTATCAGGCCCAGAGCATGGATCAGTGGAGATTCACTGTTATGTCAACATTGATTCTGTGCTTTTTAGGTATAAACAATGATGTTACATGTTCCCCAAAAATGTTAGAGAAAATAATTAGTGGTCTGGGACTCAAAATGTCTGACTTCTGGGTGCAGCTGGGCTAGCAACTTACAAAGTCTCTCTGAGCCTCATCCTTCCTAGTTAATGAGTGAGTAGGGCTGAGGATGTAGCTCAGTGGCACCACCCCTCTTATGCCCTAGTTAATGAGTGAGTTGTATATATTACTTTTAAACTTTGGGTCTTTTTAAAAATGTAGATTGAATGTTACTTTCTTGAGAATATAGTAAACAAAGATCAGTCTCCTTCAACAGTAAATACCACTTTTTGAAGAAACAGGATAAAGAATTTCTGCAGACATGCTTACTGTGTATTCTGAGGGAATAGTTGCATGAAATATCATGCTTATTGTCCTTGTTGAGTTTTATACTCCAAATGAAAAATATCTGCTAAACACAGCTCTAAAAGAGGCTTGAAGGCAGGAAAAATACTTCAAAAAGAATAGTTTAAAACCCTATGAGTAATATTTAATTCTAGTTTTAGCCTCATAGAATTCTCAAACAAACAAAAACCACATTGCCTTGAAAACATAAGGAAGAAAGTTAATAGTCTTTCATTTCCTAGAGGCCTTCCTGCCAAAGTTGTCTCAATACTAATACTGATTTGCTTGGTAACTTTAGTGTTTTTAACTTAGGTTATTTCCCTGTTTTTCCTCCAGAAAGTAAATCAGAAGTATATAACCAACAAGGAAGAGTTTACTACCCTCCAGAAAATAGTGCTGCACGAAGTGGAGGCGGATGTAGCTCAGGTTAGGAACTCAGCTACTGAAGCCCTCTTGTGGCTGAAGAGGTGAGGCAGTTGGTGGGGCAGCAGCTAAAATCAAGCACAGTTGAAATGTTACCAGCAAGAAATTGTTGTGCAAAGAGACTACTTCTGAATAAAGAATCTAACCAAATTATATCACCCTTTTTAGAAGGCCTGATGAATAGAACATCACCTTTTTTTGCATCTCTTCTGATAGTGTTTATATTAAAATACATATATGAATACATATGATAGAAATCTTAAAGCACAGGAAAGCCAGCTGGTTTCTCTTTAAGTCACTAGCTTTCCAACCTTAGTGACATCAGAATTTCCTGGAGGGCTTGTTAAAAACACTGGACTTAGAACCAGAATTTCTGGCTCCTTAAATTTGAGGTAAGACCCTGGAATTTACATTTCTAATAAATCCCAAGTAATGCCACAGCCCCAGTCCTGGGACCACATTTTGAAAGCCACTGCTTTAGGTATATCAGATGGGGTAAGGGAAAAGTACAGAGTGTCATAGAAGGATATGACAGGAAAGAGACTCAGAAAAGACTACTGTATGATTTGGCCTGTTTACTGCTGTGCCGAGATATTACTGAAATAGGAGCATTGGTATCTGCTATTTTTTTTTATACTCAGTCAATATAAGAAAACTTTGAAAATATTTTTTTGTCTTTTTTATTTCAGAGGTCTCAAATTTTTAAAGGGATTTTTGACAGAAGTGAAAAATGGTGAAAAGGATATCCAGACAGCCCTGAGTAAGTGTTCTTTATGTTTTGAGAGATCAATTGAATACTGTTTGGAATGGAGACACCTGGAGGAGGAAACAGGATATAGGACACTTCTGCTTTTCAGAGTTTAATTTTATTTCTTATTTTTGTTTCTTATATTTGATTTTGTTTCTTATTTGTTATGGGTTGTTTGCTTCCTGTGTGCTTTATTTGAAAAGGATTTGTGAGCTAGGCATGGTGGTGCACACCTGTAATCCTAGCACTCAGGTCACTGAGGCAGGAGGATCCCTGTGAGTTTGAGGCCAGCTTGGGCTACATAATGAGTTCAAGGCCAACCTGAACTATATATAGCAAGACCCGGTCTCCAAAAAACGAAACAAAACCAAAAGAGGGACTCATGAGACAGAAACCTGGTAATCTAGTTTCTTATTAAAAATTAGTATAAGGAAGCCTGAATTGATAGAAAACCATCCCTGAAGTTTAATAGGAAGACATAATATTATTAAGAAGTTAGTTTTCTTAAATCTTCAAATACAGTGCAATCCTCAAATAATTATTCAAAGAGAAGCTAACTTTAGAAGCCATAAAAGGAATTGGAGGTAGAACTCCTGGGAATTTGCTCTCGAATGAAATTAAGGGTTAATCATCATCCTCTACTCCTCAAGTTGTCTGTGTCCCATTTTGTATGATAGAGCCAAGACTTGGAGAAAGGCCTTGTTCAAAGGAGATCATACTATAGTATCCAGCATCTTAATGCAGTAACAGCAATATTGTAGGTGCTCAGTCAACATTGCACAGGGGTGGATGGATGCATGCATGCATGCATCTGTCAGACTTTATTTTGGAAAATACTGACTTGGAAGCATCCTCACAGAGTTCCTAATGAAGTGGCTAAACTTACCACAGTCTATCAGAAATTCTTCCAGCATAGGCCTTGAGGCATGTGTGTGGAGAAGACTGAAATATCATAATATTTTGAAGCCCTATATTACTGTAATTTACATAGTTAAGTGTTGAGTAGCCATGATTATTACCAGTAAAATGAACTAATTAAATGTTTCTGGTAGGGAGGGTAGCCAGTGTTCTGCATGTCATTTTTTCAGTTTCACAAGTAGATTCTACCTCCTTCTGTTAGTCTTCCTTCTGGGCCATGAATCCTGAGAGATTCTGCCCCCACATATGATTTCCTCAAGCCACCCTGTCTAGAAATTGCTGGTATGACATAAAACAGTTAGTATGGACATTTCTGTAGTACTCTGTGGATTTAGACAACTTAATCCTCACATTAATCCATTTTTATACAATAGGGAATCAAAATTATGATAGGCTAAAATACTTGCTTCAGACTTCCACAGGGATCTGAAGCAGGGTCACTTTGGAACCCTTGTCTCAAAACTCCTCATGTTTTGCACAGAGTCTTCACCATCCCTGAGCACTTTGCATTTTTAATTTCCCATGAATCTCTTATTTCCAGGATAGGTTCAGTTATATTCTCCTCTCGTGTTGTGCTTTTTAAGTACTAAAAATGTATTCACCACATCTGTACATGCCCCTAGCCAGAATCTGTGGAATGGTAAGGCATACAGAGTGACTAGGAGCATAGATTCTGAAATGGTTCATGGGCTTCTGTCACTTACTAGCATTGTGCTCTTAGGCAAGTCCCTTAACTCTCTGTGCCTCCGTTTCTGTTATCTATAAAATGGGGCTGGTGATACTGTTTCTCCAATGAGGTTGTTGTAAAGATTATATAGTTTCATGCATCTGAAAAAAATTCAAAAAGTATTGGGCACATAATAAGCACTCAGAGGTTCACTCCTGTTGTTTATACTTTTATCATCATGATCATCACCTCCATCACATACAAGGTTGATAACCTGCCCAGAAATGGGGCTTATTGATCCCAAATCAGAAATGGTAGGTAAGTTTATAAAGCTCAGCTACTAAACCAGAAGCGTCTCTTCAGACCAGCTTCTTAATAATGGAAATTTCACACTGGAAGGCTGACTTCACCTGTAGAAAAGGGCAAAAGATTTGGGAGTCAGTGCTGTGTGCCTGGTGGATTGCACAGGTTCCATGCTGCTGTTTTGGTAGGTCTGTCTGCGGAGAGGAGGAGGGCAGTGCTAATCCCATTTAACCCTTCCTGGAGCTGGGGTGAAATAGAACCAGCTGCTCACAGGAAGAAGCTTTGACCCTGAAGGTGGAATGGAGGTGGAGAATATATACCCTTAGACCCTGCCCCCACCCCAGTTCTGTACCTTTTTCTCCTCTAGCTGATACTTTTTATTTCATGTGGAGGCTGGGCCCAGTAGATGCGGACTCTGAAGAAAAAAGAGACTTTGAAAGGCAAAAAGCTGCTTTGTGATTGAATTAATCATGGCTGATCTCAGCTCTTCCTTTCCCCTCTTTCCCTACAGCTCTATTTTCAGTGTTAAAAAGGGGGATGTGAATTTGAAATTTTCATTCTGAAGTTCATGTTCATTTAAAGATGATTTCCTTGATTAAAATCTTATCTTTGATTGTAGTAATCTCTAATTTCCTGCTCCTTTTCAGTGAGAAGAAATGAAGTGTACCTAACCTACTTACCCTTCCTCCCCTCCAGACCCAGGCATAACAAGCTCTGTGCAGACAAATGTGGTTTATTGAGACTTGTTTACACGATAGCTGTTCACACCCATAGGCTCCTCAATGCACGTTTCTTAGGGGATAATGGCTTTTCTTTGCTCATTTTAAAGTCACAGACTTTCTAAGTGGAACTGATATCTTGCCTGAAATGAGAGATGGTGGATACGTAGGTAAATCAGAGGGTATTTGTTCTTTATGTACCATACATAGGCAAATTAGCCTGGTTTGTATTAAATTCAAAAATTTAATTTGATTTACGGTGATAACAGTTACTGTTAAAGACTACCCAGTGTAATGATTATACCAAGTTCTTCATAAACATTTAATCTTCCAAATAAATTGGTTTAGAGAGGGTAAGTACCTTCCCTAGAGCTTCAAAACCTAGATCACTAGTTGTCACATTGGCCCCAGGACAGTAGCATCTTCACTACTTGGAAACTTAGTAGAATGCAAACCATCAGGCCGCAGCCCAGACCTGCTGAATCAGAAACTCCAGAGTGGGTCCTGGCAGTGTTTTAACAAGTCATTCTGGGAGATTTTGATCCGCACTGAGGTTTGAGACCGGCTCATCTACCAGTAGATCTAGGACATTGAAGCTCACCTGCCACTTGACTACATCTTGATTACTTGAAGGGTTTTTTTCCTCTCTGTAGGAGAGGGATTATTAATAAGTAGGATATTAGTCATAGCATCAGTTAATTTTGCCTCCTTTCGTCATAATTAGATAGCTTTTCAGTAAAACTGCTTAAGAAATGTTTTGAAGTAAATGCGTTTAAAACTTTTGTAGTCATCGTGGCTTTGGAGATAGGTGATGATATGTCAGAGTCCTACATGACACATTGGAGCCAGGTGTGATGATACATGCCTGTAATCCCACCACTCAGGAGGCTGAAGTAGGAGGATTGCTGTGATTTTGAGGCCACACTGGGCTGCATAGCAAGACCCTGTCTCAAAAAAACAAAAAACACACACACACACACACACACACACTGGAATGATTGATGTCTGTTACCTTTCTGGAAAATGTATCTGTTGTGATTTTATTGCTGCCATGCTGTCACCTAGAACAGCTCCTAGTACATGGAAGGAGGTCTGATGCTTCACACTGCCCCCTTTTTTACTTGGGCCATGAGATAGACTCCCAATACTAGCAATCAGAGTGTAACATTTTGGGTAGTCTCATGCCAACAGTGCTATTTATCCTTAGCATCCTGTGTCACTCCGTAGAGGTCATTTTAAGGAAGGAGATGAGTCCTGAAGGCAGATATATTTAATAGTCTGCTCTAGGACTGAGCCCTTCTATCTGCAGATGCCACATCAAAAAGATTTTGGAAAGCACCCTTGTAGGTAGAAGGAAGAAAAGTTGCCCTGTCATTTCATGCACCATTGTACTAAATGTTAGGTGCTCTGTCCTGTTCTTTCATTGGGATAGCATATTGCCACATGTCTCACTTTAGAATGATACCATTGATGTCAGCGAAAGATTAACCCAAAGAAGATCTCTGGTGCAGGATAGGAAAAAACTTTTAAAGGATGCTCAGTCATGTATTAATATAAAAGGCTTTCAGAGACAAGGAGAACTAAGTGAGAAAAAACTCATATTCACATATTTAATATCAGATCATAACTTGACTAATTATTCTGTAACACTGTGGAACATGAATCAAGTCATGCCCTCTTTAAAGACCTTCCAGCATGTGTCTGCACTGGCAGGATTGCCTGACCACCAGGTTTTCCTCATGATAATGTCTGAAGTTCACAAAGATCATCTCTGAGCACTTACTTTTATTCTGTGTTTTTTAAAAAAGACCTGTGTATTTCATAAGCAGAAAAAGGTGCTAATTCTTCAGGAAATGACTTGCAAAGGCGTATTTTTCATTTTCATTATTGTTTGACAAAGAATAAATGTTAATTTTTAGCAGCATGGTTTTGAGATGATACACAAATGCCCCAAGTTCTCATTGCTTTTTAGCTTTATAACCATGGGCAAGTCACTGGGACCGCCATGTCTTCATTTATAAAAGACAGAGAATTGGGCAAAGTGATTGTCAAGTCTTCCTAGTGGGAGGTTTTGATTGAGTCTCTAGGTAACTGACATGTCTCAAAGAATTGGGGAGAAGGTAGCATTTATGTCTTTCAGAGGCCAAAAATATTTTCAGGTTATAGAATATGCATTATGATATTAAATGGGTATTAATATATTTCATTATCTAATATTCTCTGGGTAACCAAAATAGGTAAGGCTTAGACTTCATCTTATTTTAATGCAGCCCAAGGTGGCAGGGATATTTGCGGCCCTAGAAGTCAGCTAAGGATTTTTGGCCTTTTTAAAAATGAGTTTTAGTTAATTTGTTGATTTTAAATTTCAGCAGTTGGCTTCCTGGCCTGAGGCAGGACCCAAATCAAATTCTGTGATTCCTCTGTTAGGCCATCTGGATCATCTTGCAGTTGGGACTCTCCTCTGTCCAGGTGCAGGTACAACAAGCAACAGCTGCTTCCTCTGAAGGGCCAAATGGGCAGACACAGATGGCACTGCTGTAGGCACACCCCCTCGTCCTTAGGTCAGGGTGGCAACGCTATTTGGGCTCATAGAATACTTTTCTTCTTGCCTTCTTCCTGTCCATTAGAAGAATGGCAGGGAGAAGAGTTTCCAGGCTTTTTTTGAATGGTTGACCTGGCTGGCAGGAATCCAGAGCCCTTTTACACAAGCAGTTTGTTCAGTCAAGTTGCTTTGTATCTGAAGGCTTAGAGACCAGGACAGCTATATCTGATACTTATTGTCAAAAAGTATGAGTCTCATCTTGTTAATTCTCTACAAGAATTCCGAACCAGAATGATGACTTTTGTCTGATAGTGACTTTTTAACAAGAAAATAATACATTCTATATAGGATAGCTAATTTTTTTTCTGTAAAAGAGAATATTTCTCTGGAATGCACACTGGTTAAGTCTGAGAGAAATGACTATAGCAGTGGTAGTGAACCAGTGGCACACATGCCACAACGGGCTGTGTGTTACCACTGAAAGCTCTAAAATGTTCACTATCACTGGACTATAGGTTTCTTTAGTTTCTCCTATTTTTAGTTTTTTTCATATTTTCTATGATGGTCATGCATTATTTGTGCAATCAGAAATACATTTTTTTTTAAGTGCTACAATGCCATAGAAGTTCAGAATCCTTGACGTAATGGATAAAGGCCATCACAATTTGGCTCCAGCCTCCCTCCCCAGCTGCAGTGAATTGCTCACTAATGCTCAGCATGCCATGACCTGTCCCAGTTCCATTGTGCTTCTGACTATTGCTACCCACTCCCCTTTTCTCTACCGAGCCTTCAGAACTCCTAATTCTTTCTGTCCACCATACTCAAGCTGGATTTATCTCTTATCCTGTAGCACTATGTACAAATCTCTACAGTAACTGTTAGCAAGCTCCCTTATAAATCAGTCCTTCAGCTTATTCCTTGCACAGTATGTGGGGTGTAGTAGACCTGCACTAAATTCTTAAGCAGACCATTGTTTGTTGTAAATATGCACCAGCAGATTTGAATGTATTTATAATGGTATTTGATGCCCTGCCTGGATTATGTCACAAGAAAAGAAGAAGTCTCTGTTATCATAGGTACCTTGGTAACTCCCCTTAGGATGTTTTCTATGGACTTGTGTACTCTCTTGCCAGTCCATATGGCTCATCAGATGGTTGAAATGGTTGGAAATGTGGTAGTCTTGCTGGTTTTTCTCAGTGATTGTGTCTGGTATCTCTACTGTATACTTGTGGATCAGCAACCCCCTTCTTTAGATATCTTCACAGGCCTTGTGTATCACATGTCCCCTTCCAGAGAATCAGCTAGGTTTGTGGCTTATATTAAAGATGCATGTCTTTGACTATTCCCTGGTCTACTTGGTGTTTTCTAAGGAAGAAACTAAAATTTAATCTTCGTTTCTCCTTTATGCTGAGTCGTCGTCACACTTGAACTTAACTCTTTATTACCTCTGCTTGAGCTTTACCACATTGATTTTTGCCATTTCAGTCTGTTCTTAATATTCTAGACAGCCAGGGAAATCTTTTGTGATAGTCCAAATGTACAGTCTTTTATATAAAATATATTGCAACTAATATTGAATATTCTTTTATACAAAACATAATTGTACTTGTGCAAATTCAAATTATGTAAAATTGAAATAGGATAATTATTAATAAAGCCTCCAGACTTTTACAATAAAGGTTGACTATGCTCATTACAAAGCTTGTGAGTTTGAGTAACCTGTGAAATGTTAGTAAGCTGCACCCACATGGCAGGGTCATTTTTGCAAGTAAAACACAAAAATATCTGACTTCCTGTGAACTACATTGTTTCCACTGCATAGGAACTTGTACTTGGAGTCTTACTGTCACTTTTTCTGTTATTTTAATATCTGCTCTTTATTTTAATTGAAAATATTTTTATAGCCAATTGTCACCTATGCATTCATTAAATGGTTGTTGTACTTGTGCTAGGTGCTGAAACTAACACAGGAAATGAGTAAGTTTGGAAGAGAGGATTCAGATGTGGTCAGGTAAAATACAAAGATGAAGGAGGTCAAACAACCACTGGGATATACTATGCTAGTAATACTACTAGAGAGGATACTTACAGATAAAATGGAGCGTTGAAGTAAAAATGCAGGGTGGTGATGCAGATCTGTGCCTCCAGAGAACACATTCATCACTTCGGGAAACCAGATTTGAATTTTATATATGTTGAATAATTCCAAATTTTCAGGAATGTATTCCTTGCATAAAATGCAGCAGTTCTTCTGAATTTTTTGTGATTGAAATTATTATATCCCAGTTTTAAAATTTCACTTTAAAACACCTTGAGAAAGAAGTAATAATTATTGACTTTAAAGTACAAAACATGAATGACTTTAATTAATAGGCCTCGCCAGTTACTTGGTAATAAACTTGATAAATTCAAGCCATTCTTTTTTTTTTTTTTTGGTACTAGGGATCAAACTCAGGTCCTTGCGCTTGTGCAGCAGGCGGCAAAACCACTGAGCCCTTCAAGCCATTCTTCCCATAACATTGTTTGTTTTGGATAGACTTGGGCTCCCTGTGTGGCCCATACTGGTCTTGAAGCCCTAGACTGAAGTGATCTTCCTGCCTAAACCTTCCAAGTACCTGAGATTACAGCATACACTGCCATGCCTGGCTTTTCCATAACGTTTGTAAAGGTTTAACTATTAATTCAGGGCCTTAGGAACACTGAGTGCAGACATTTGACATCCCATAATAGTGTCAGGGTTTGAAAGAACCTTAGAGATCATTTTACATAGGGGGATACAGATGATTAAAGAGGACAGCTAAAGGCTCAGGGTCATGCCACATTTCAAAGAACTGCATTTTTAAAATTTGTAACAGTGTATTCTTAATTATACTTAGCCTCAATTTTTCAGTATCCTATCCTCCCTCTTTATTCCTTCATATATGTGTTGAACTTTTCCTACTATGGTACTGTGTTGACACAGGGTAAGAGTAGAAGGATCTCTTTTCAAAAAAAGAAAAAAATTCCACATGAGGTTTTTTTTTCTTATGTAAGACTTTTGGGATACATAGTTTTGTAATTAGATATTTTCACCAGTTCCTAACATGTATAAGACTATATACTATGGCATACATTAAAAAGTACATAAATAACAAAAAGTACATCAAATTCTGTTGTACCCATTTCTCATGGAGTTTTTTTTTTCTTTTGAAGATAATGCATATGGAAAAACATTACGGCAACACCATGGCTGGGTAGTTCGAGGTGTTTTTGCGGTAAGTCATTCCTCTTCTCCCCAGTGTTTGGATGGTCAGAAGCAAGGTGTTGTATTTTGTGATTGTGATATTTCTGGTTGGTTTATTTTTTAGGATAAGAAGAAAATGTTACTCATTTTGTTTGTGTTTATAGGTCTTTGGTGTGTAGAATTGTCAGCAATAAAAAGTGTCTAGAATAGCAAAGACTATTTTAAAAATGTGCTTTACTCTAATTCCAGTGACCTTTTGGAGAGATTCATCTCCAAAGTTGGTTGCCTGTCTGATATGTAGTAAAAAGCTCAAGTATCAATGCCAGAGGTAGGTAGGAAGCAGAGATCTGAAATACTGTTGAAAGGACTTATGCATTCAAGTGATGAATTCAAGCTAATAGCTCCCTCTTCTGCCCATTGTATTCAATTATTATTTAATTCTTGGCTCTTACCTGTCTTTTTTCTTAGCTGAATTTTATCTTTAATATTAACTGTATTGCTTAGACCAGCAGGTAGGGCTAGAAATCTCTTATTTAGTTATTTTAGATGTTTGTATTCATGTGTTTTGCCTCATGTTAAGCACCACCTCTCCCTTTCCAATATGTTGGAACACAAACCCAGGAATCTTAGTCCCTCAGATCACTTAGCCGCTTTATAAGTAGCAGGTATAGATGGCTCCTTTATGTCAGCAGTATACTCATTCTCCCCACTAGGGAAGGGTCAGTCTTGGTAGTAAAATGTAAGCATGAAAAAAGCAGGGTCTCCTGTCATTGTATACTAGGAAACTTCACAGAATATGAGTGTTCTTTGTAAGAGAGGAAATAAAATAGCTTTGCAGATAATATCTTTTACTAATTTAAAGTATACATCACTTGACTAAAGTAAGAACTGTTAGGGTCATGACTTCTTCTTACCTTCCTGCTTTCTTTAGTAAAGATGTGGGAAGAATGTACAATACAAGAAATCAATTTTAGTGGAAATGACATTTTTTGAAAATGTGGAAATGGCTTGCTACCATTCACTGGAATAGGTGCCAGACCAAGTGCAGCTACATATTGCCCATATTACCTTCAGTTTACATTTCATGGTCAGAATAAGACCTACCACATAGCTATTAGGTGCCTGTTGAATACCAAAGACTGTACCCTGTACTTTTCATGTTCATTATTTTAGTTTTCAGGATAAACTCCCACTGTTTCATAAGTTCAGAGTGATTATGTCCAGTCCCAGAATGAGCTAAGGCCAGGTTTAAACCTATGTCTGCTGACCCTAAAGCTGGCTGGTGCTCCTGCCATCACAACTCTGTGCAGTGAAGACAGAATAATTCAGAAACCTTTACTGAGTCCTTAGGCAGTGGGTGCTGACCATGCTCATTGATCTTCCTGAGTAAATGCAAATGAACATCTCCCGTGTTCCTGACACATGCATTCCATTGGTGAGATGATTCAGTTAAGGAACATTCATTTGCCCTGTTTATAATAAACAAGTGTTGGGTTTGTTTTGTTTGTTTTGGAGCTTTCTTTTCAGTTTAGGGCAAAATTTAACCCTGAAATTTTGATGATCCAAGAGATGTTGCCAATAAGAATGCAGGTATAATAAAAATTTATTATAAGCAGGAGTGTTCAAAAGGGCTTTTCAACTTACAATTTTTTTTCCTGATTTATAGTAATGTAAACTCATTGTTAGTGACTTAGAAATGGAAGAATAGAGAGGGAGAAAAACTAAAATTTCTCATATTTCCATTTTTTAACATTTTTATGTTTTACCATCTTAGCTTTTTTTTGTATTTTTATTTA